CTTGGCTATAGTGAATGTAGATTTCTGTTAATCTGGATCTGACTTTTCCTCGCTACCCTCACTTAAAAACTCAGACTCTACGTGTGAAGCCCTAAATACCTTCTGGCAAAATTTTTGATTACCTTTATCACCAGGTTCGGCCAGGTCCCTGCCCGGGGACAGGAGACACTTAACCCAGCCGAGGAGGACCAATGAGCTGGACCATGGTAGCCACAGGAACTGAGCCCAGAGGTGAGAGCCAGTGGTGACTACACAGCAACCCCACGAATGGGCCTTGAGGTTTAAGGGCAGTTAGCATAAATAGGGAGAAGGGGTGTGCCAGGCAATGCCTGAGTTCAACCTCCGCTCCAAGGTTCAGGGACACCTCCCATACACTCTTATTCTGTGCCACCAAACCTCCCACCCTTGTCTCCCCCACCCCATCTTTTAGCCTACTGCCCACCATACACCCAGCCTCAGCCCAGGAGCCTTCCCAAACCCCTAGCAACCTCAACCCCACGGTGGTCCCCACCTGCAGCCTGCCTCCCGCCCTGGCAGACCCTTCTCTTTTTCCCCACCTCCTTAGGCCCTTTGAGCAGGCAAGGGAAACAGGAGGCAGCTGGTGCCCAGGGTCAGCTCCCCCAGGCAGGCTGGGCCCTGGTCTGAAAAGTGTCTTTATTGCTTGTACCGTACAAATACGAGGACTAGGGAAAGGCCAGTGGGGATGGGATGGGGAGAAGTGTCAGATAAACAACATACACACACAGTAAGGAAAAAGACCCCACTCCACCCCCTATGCCTTTCTATAAACTGCCTAGTATGGGAGGTGTAGATGGAGGAGATTAAAACCACAAAAAACAATTTCCAAATACCCAAAGATGCTGGGAAGAGGGAAAGGGAGTCGTGGGCAGGAAAAGTGGACCCCAGGCAGGGCTCCTCCCACCAACTCAGCACTCTCCCTCACCAGATGAAACGCTCAGGCCTGCGATAGGGGCCCAAGCACACATACACTATACACACTCACACACACACCTGACATGCAGGCACACATACACTCACGTGCATCTGCATCCCAGCAGCACCAAGATGCCTGTTGACACACAGTCCAAAGCACACACACGTGCCCATAGCACACAGACTCACACTCATGTTCACTTTTAAGGCTGCAGTGGGGCCCTAGACAGGGAAGGGGGTAAGATGGCCTGGGAGCCTCCCTTCTCAGAGGCTCCCCACCCCAATACATACCAGAGACACCCACCCCGCCCTTCCCCAACCCAAGTCCACAGGGCCCAATACTGTCTCGGTGCGAGATGTGTAACAGCCAAGGCTGGCACCACTTCACCCCAGGAAAGGGAGAAGAGGGTGATCCCAACCCCACCTCTGATGGGGCCAGGGCCAGGTCCGGGGTCCAGCGGGAGGTAAGGCCAGCTGGAAGGAAGCCCTGGTAAGGCACGGGGCTGCGGGTGGCAGGCAGGCTGGCCCCAAATGTTTCTCCTGCCTCATCCACAGGGTTAGGTGAACAGCTCTGGGCAGGAGAGGGAGCAGCAGGATCAGGGCAGTGCCCACCTGTCAGACCCCATAATGTCAATCCAAGGACCTGGCTACATACTGGAGGGAGCCCTGACCACCACCACCCCACAGCTCCCAAAGGCCTCTACCTGTCCCTTGACATTATTGCTTTATGCCCCCATAGTGGGGCGGGGAATTGGACGCCCTGTTCCAGGGCATGGAGAGTAGCCCCCGGGCACTGTGCACTGGGTATAGCGTCCACCGAAGGCAGCCTCTATCTGGAAGCAGCAGTGGGGAGGCAGGTGGCCTGCATGGCAACCTGGCCAGAAGTCCAGGCAGGCCCCCACTCCACACCTCATCCCTCCCGGAGCTGGTGCTGACTGAGAACCTGGATCTCCATCTGCCCCACAGCCCATCCTGGGCAGAAGGGAGCATCTCCCAGATACCAGTCTGGGCATGAAGGTGAGGCTGGAGGCAGCAGCCGCTGGGATCGCAGAGGTGAGTTGGAAGAGATCTGAAGGAGGAGCTGCACAGGGGCAAGGAGGTGAGGAATGGGGACACAAACAAAATAGGCAAAATAAAAAGTTTTAAAAAGAAAAAGCCAGCCAGGTGGTGGATGGTGGCCATGTGTGTGTCCGGTGGTGGCGGCAGACTGCTCACTCGCGGATGCTGGCCGAGTAGGAGAACTGGGGGAAGTGGGTCCGCTGATCCAGCTCGAGTGAGCCCAGGCTGTCATCTGCAGGGGGTCGAGTGGAGGTGGATTGGGGAGGACCAGTCCCAGAGCACCCGCCCAGACTACTCCATGGGGAACTAGCCATGGGAAGGACTACAGTGAGACCACGGGACAAGCAGGGAAGGCTTGGAAAGAGCCATTCTGACAGAGCCTCTCAGCCACGTCCCCACTCTCCAATGGAGCTCTGGGCCCTTGTCTGGGATGCTCCCCTACCAGCCTATGGGCCCCACGGCCTACTCCCTCAGATTCCTGAGCAACCCTCACCTTCCCCTCCTTTGCCTCTCCCCTCTCCACACCTCCAGACCCTTACCCTGGCCCCCACCCCCTGTACCCTCCAACCTACACTCCACATGCACCCAGGGGACTTTCTAAAGCTCTGACATGACCCTGTCCCTCTCTGCACAAAACCCTTCCACAGCTCCTTATGGAAAGATCCCAACTCCTTCTCAGTAACCTCCAAGCCCTTCAACCTTCTCCTTCCCCCACACTCCTGGACTATGAAATGTTTCCTCCCATTTGTGGCATCCCATAGGCCATTTCTTCTGCAAGGAAAACATCTTCACTGACATGTCTGTCACTCCTCCAGGAAGCCCTCCCTAAGCTGGGTCTGGGCTTCCCCAGTACTTGGGCTTCTAGCCACTAGCCTGACTGCACCGGGCTGCCACTCACCTGGACTGGACACTCCCTGAGGGCAATGCCCAGGACTAGCTCAGTCTCTGATATGTCTCCAGACCAGCCCAACACTGGGCTGGGTTCAGAGTAAAAACTTAAATAGCTGAAGAGTCAATAAACCACTCTAGCCCCGAAGACCTGGGCTGTCTCCTGCCCAGAGCTCTCCAAGCTCCAGAACATGTGCCAACCAATGGCTCCCAGTGAGCCACCCCAGGTCCACTGAGAACCAACTGCAAAGGGCTCAGACAGAGAGGGTAGCCTGCAATGGTCCTGAAGAGGGGGGCCCAGAGCAGACCTGACCACTCCCTAACTCTGCAGGCCCCGCAAGGCAAGGGGGGTTCCAGGTACTCACAGCGGTCAGGGGGCGTGATTGTGATGGACTGGGCAGTGAATTCATCATCGAAGTACCTTGTGTCGACCTCAGATGTGACCTGAGGTTTGAAGGGTGGCAGAAGCTATGGAGAAGAGAAGCCCAGACTCAGGACCCTGAGGACAGGAGGCCTCAGCCAAGGCCACCTGCTAGCAGGCCAGGTCTATGGGCTCCTGTTGGGGCAGGGGGTTGGGGCAAGGCTTACCTTCTTCTGTACCACATCCTGCCAGTTGATACTGAGGAAGAACCGATGCTCCATGACTTCCTTGGCATCACTGGGCCCGCCACCAAGCCTGAGCAGAGATGGTCATCAGTAGCTGCCTCCCAGAGCAGCTGGGTTCTAAGAGACAAGCTTTCACGCAACAGGTTTGAGCCTACAACATGGGCCCTGAACAGCCATGAATGATTCTGGTTCTCCACTTCACAGAGGAGGAAAGTTAGGCTCAGGGAAGGGAACTCATATGCCAGAGGCTACAGCCAGAGAGACCCCATGTGGCCTTACAACACCTCAAGGCAGCATGAGGAGTGTAGCGGATGGGTCTGGCCCAAGGGGTGCTTCCTGAGTACCAGCTGTGGGGACTATCAGGGGCAGAGGGGGAACACCACACTTAGCGAACCCACAAACAGGTGTGCCTAAAGACACTGTCTCCCCCAGGCCAAGGGCACGGAGTAGTGGTGACACTAGGCTGGGTGGAGTAGACGCCAGCCCTCACCTCTGCTTAGGGTCCTTCTTAAGCAGTCCAGCAAGCAGGGACTTGGCCTCGGGGCTGAGTGTGCGTGGGAAGCGGATCTCCTCCATAAGGATGAGCTCAAAGAGGCGCTCATGGTCCTGGTTGTAGAAGGGCAAACGGCCGCACATCATCTCGTACATGACCACACCCAGCCCCCACCAGTCCACAGCCCGGCCATAGTCGTTGTCCTCCAGCACCTAGGGAAGGAGGGCAATGAGGGGTCAGGTCCAGGACCCAAAGCTGGGAAGGGCAAGTGAGGAATCACAGTCCTGCTCTCTGAGGGTCTGCAAGGGGGAGACATGGAAGTCTAAGGGTCCCCTCCATCCTTGGCCTCACACGCTCTTGTGTCCCCCCCAGCCCAGACACCTCAGGTGCCAGATACTCCGGGGTCCCACAGAAGGTTTTCATGGTGGCCCCATCACTGATGCCCTCTTTGCACAAGCCGAAGTCGGTGATCTTGATGTGGCCGTCTTTGTCCAGCATGAGGTTTTCCAGCTGCAGGAAAAGTTAGCGCATCAGGGGCATGTGCTCCTGGGTATCCCTCAAAGGGAGTATGCCTGGGGTAGGAGGGGCTCCTGGGCAGCCACTCTCCTGGACCAGACCAGATCATAGCACATTCTGGGTACAAGGTTACACCCTTGGCCCCTAGGGTTCAGAGGGATATAACGCCTCCCTGTCCCCTGGCCATCTCCAGATAGCTGGAAAGCATCCAGGCAGAAGGAGATAGAAGTAAGGCCCTGGCCCAGCCTGCTGCCCCAGATGTGGGCTATAGCTTAACTTTGGATGTGAGGAGACTGTTCTGTTTTTTTCTAAATTTCTTTTTTTTTCTTTTTTTTGCATTTTTGAAAAATTTAATTATTTTATTCAAACTAAGTATTACCATCACAACCTGTATTCAGTATAAAAATTACAGAAGTGCTATATACACTTATTTTTTATACAAAATCTTTTCTAAATTACTTTTAATTATGAAACATATACCAAGAAAGAACACAAAACATGAAACACAAGCAGGCAATTTGATGATGACTTTGACTAATCTCTACCAGGTGAACAAATAATGTTAGAGGCTCTGGGGCCCCCTATATGTCCCTCCCATTATGAATACCTCACATGCTGAGAAGTAACTTTTACTTCCTTGCTTTTCTCTACAGTTTTTACCACCTACACACACACTTGTAAATGATATAAGATCTGTCTCATCTGCCCTGGCTTTTACCTGCCACATGAGCCTGAGGTGTACCAGGGCTACCACCTGTGACCACGGCCTGTGCTTTAACTACTGTGCAGAATGCCATGTGAACATGCCAGTATGGTTCACCCAGTCTCTGATAGAGGCTGTCTGAACTTCCAGCTCAGCCTAGCTGCACAGGGCTGCCTAGGGGACATGAGGCCACTGCCTGAGGTGAACACAGGCCCCTGCTGATGGGGTGCACACAGCCAGGGCAGACAGCTGGCATTCAACTGTGGTGATCACTGCCTGACCACCTTCTGAAGGACTTGCACCAATACACCGCCCCCACTTCCCTCTGGCAGCTTAGGAGTGCCCACAGGATGCAAGCCAGGTCCCTACAGCAAGTGACTTGGGACCTGGCAGAGGGCTCTCTGACCTCCCTGCTGTGAGCCCCAGGTGTGAACCAGGCCTCTGTAAACGTGCATCACCTCCCACCGTGGCCCATGCTGACCTTGATGTCACGGTACACCACGTCCCGGGAGTGCAAGTACTCCAGAGCTGAGACGATCTCTGCACCATAAAACCGTGCCCGCTCCTCGGTGAAGACGCGCTCCCGGGACAAGTGGAAGAATAGCTGAAGAAGGAGTGGAAAGAGGTCAGACTCCCAGCCCAGTCCAGGACCCAAAGCTGGGAAGGGCAAGTGAGGAATCACAGTCCTGCTCTCTGAGGGCCTGCAAGGGGGAGACATGGAAGTCTAAGGGTCCCCTCCATCCTTGGCCTCACACGCTCTTGTGTCCCCCCCAGCCCAGACACCTCAGGTGCCAGATACTCCGGGGTCCCACAGAAGGTTTTCATGGTGGCCCCATCACTGATGCCCTCTTTGCACAAGCCGAAGTCGGTGATCTTGATGTGGCCGTCTTTGTCCAGCATGAGGTTTTCCAGCTGCAGGAAAAGTTAGCGCATCAGGGGCATGTGCTCCTGGGTATCCCTCAAAGGGAGTATGCCTGGGGTAGGAGGGGCTCCTGGGCAGCCACTCTCCTGGACCAGACCAGATCATAGCACATTCTGGGTACAAGGTTACACCCTTGGCCCCTAGGGTTCAGAGGGATATAACGCCTCCCTGTCCCCTGGCCATCTCCAGATAGCTGGAAAGCATCCAGGCAGAAGGAGATAGAAGTAAGGCCCTGGCCCAGCCTGCTGCCCCAGATGTGGGCTATAGCTTAACTTTGGATGTGAGGAGACTGTTCTGTTTTTTTCTAAATTTCTTTTTTTTTCTTTTTTTTGCATTTTTGAAAAATTTAATTATTTTATTCAAACTAAGTATTACCATCACAACCTGTATTCAGTATAAAAATTACAGAAGTGCTATATACACTTATTTTTTATACAAAATCTTTTCTAAATTACTTTTAATTATGAAACATATACCAAGAAAGAACACAAAACATGAAACACAAGCAGGCAATTTGATGATGACTTTGACTAATCTCTACCAGGTGAACAAATAATGTTAGAGGCTCTGGGGCCCCCTATATGTCCCTCCCATTATGAATACCTCACATGCTGAGAAGTAACTTTTACTTCCTTGCTTTTCTCTACAGTTTTTACCACCTACACACACACTTGTAAATGATATAAGATCTGTCTCATCTGCCCTGGCTTTTACCTGCCACATGAGCCTGAGGTGTACCAGGGCTACCACCTGTGACCACGGCCTGTGCTTTAACTACTGTGCAGAATGCCATGTGAACATGCCAGTATGGTTCACCCAGTCTCTGATAGAGGCTGTCTGAACTTCCAGCTCAGCCTAGCTGCACAGGGCTGCCTAGGGGACATGAGGCCACTGCCTGAGGTGAACACAGGCCCCTGCTGATGGGGTGCACACAGCCAGGGCAGACAGCTGGCATTCAACTGTGGTGATCACTGCCTGACCACCTTCTGAAGGACTTGCACCAATACACCGCCCCCACTTCCCTCTGGCAGCTTAGGAGTGCCCACAGGATGCAAGCCAGGTCCCTACAGCAAGTGACTTGGGACCTGGCAGAGGGCTCTCTGACCTCCCTGCTGTGAGCCCCAGGTGTGAACCAGGCCTCTGTAAACGTGCATCACCTCCCACCGTGGCCCATGCTGACCTTGATGTCACGGTACACCACGTCCCGGGAGTGCAAGTACTCCAGAGCTGAGACGATCTCTGCACCATAAAACCGTGCCCGCTCCTCGGTGAAGACGCGCTCCCGGGACAAGTGGAAGAATAGCTGAAGAAGGAGTGGAAAGAGGTCAGACTCCCAGCCCAGAGGAGGAAGACGGACCTCAATCTAGTGACACCTGCTTTATGACCCAGCAAGTGACAGCGAGAGGAACCAACCAAGGGATGATGAGTAGAAAAGAGCTCATATGAGGAAAAACAAACATAACAGAAGAAGGGTCAGAACCAGCTGATAGGTACCAACAAGAGAGTAAGGTGAAAGCACAAGAGGACAGTGTGGGAGTGGCAGCAAGGAAGACCAGAGAAACCTAAGTCGTGTATGATGACAACAAGCTTTGAGGACAGAAGCAAACGGTCCCAATGCAGGGAGTCAATCCCATGTGCACAGACAGGGCATGGAGATGAGGCATGGGTGGCAGAGTGAGTGTGAGCAAGGCAGTGACAGTGAGGGATCATACTGACCTGTACCAGGACACAGGGCTAGGGAATCTAGCCCCCACAGGCTTGCTTTGAAGTCCTCAAGGATGACCTTCCCAGAGCAGTTAGCCAGCCACCCTGCAGACCTCTCCATACCTCTCAGGACCTGGGTTTGTATCCTACCCCCTCCCCAACTCACTAGTGGTGTAATCTTGAACAAGCTACTTAACCTCTCTCAACCTCAGTTTCCCCGTCTGCAAAATGCAAATGATACTGCCTGCCTCAAGAAAGTGGGGTGAGGAGGACAGGATACTCAGTAAGCCTCTCTCAGCTCCTTTACCTCTCCTAGGTCCTCTCTTCCTCCCCCCACCCTTTGACACATTCAAACAGCCAGGCAGGGGCCGGGGGCTCACCTCACCACCATTAGCATACTCCATCACAAAGCACAGGCGGTCATGGGTCTGGAAGGCATACTTCAGTGCCTGTAGGGACAAAAGTGAGGAGGAGGAAAGGAGGTGACACTTAATCTGTACATCAATCCCAACCTGACCTGAAGTCTCCAGAGTTGGGCAAAGGGGTTCGAATCACAGCTTCATCTTTTAGGGTATGTGAATGTACTTGTGGTTCTGAGGCAGACAAAGGGTTACTGTGCTTGTCCTCCACCTTCAACAGGCATGACAAAGGGAGAAAGTAAGTTCTGAGCAACAAGAGCTGTTTGCTATCTCCTCTCCCCTTGTTTTAGCAGTAAAATGTACTAGACCTACAAAAGTGATGTGTGTCATGCTGGGAGCAGGAGTGGTATGGGAGCCAACTCCCCAACAGAATGCGCAAAGCTGTCAGCCAACAAATAAGAGTTCTCAAACTGTGCTCTAAGGAGCCCTCCAGAGAGATCCTCAGAGATCCTCTGGGTGACCCCTCTGCTGACAATAATTCTACTGCTCTCTGTCTTCTACCCTAAGGTATCTTGTAAGATTCCACTTAAACAAGTTCTAAGGCCTAACAGGACTCCTCAACAGCCAAAAAATGGGTGCATGAGCTATCCTCAATGTAGCCTATTTAACTGATGATCACTTGGCAGGTGATGTGGTGGTTAAAGGCGCTGAACTTCCACATGGCTGACTGCGGTTTGAGTCCTAGACCTGGAGGACTGCTTTCTCACTTTCTCTCTGTCTCTCTCTAGTCAGATTAAAAATAATTACTATTAACTAATAAAGTTAAATAAAATAATTCTTAAAGAAAAAAAAAGGGGGGTGACAGTCACTAGACTGCATAGGAAATGTAAAGAGGAAAATATTCAGCTCAAGTTCAGAGGAAACACAATAACAACACATCTGCTTCTAAGATTATATCTTAAAACAAAACCAAAGGCAAGCCCATGGCATGGTGGTTAATGCAACTGGATCCCACATGACTAACTTCACAGTTCAAGTCCCAAACCCAGCAGCTTTAAAAACATGCCGGGTACATATGTGTGCATGCCCAAACTCCCAGCAGGCAGAAGAAATAGAGAAGGGACTATGACCACACCCCATGAGGGGTGTTTTCTCACACCCTCCTCCCCCACCAGTGAGCACACATACCCTCTGGCAAAATTAAAATAAACAAAAACAAAAATACATCCCCACATTGACTAGCTGGGCTAGGCATCCATAATCCATAGAAATAGTGGCATACACTACTGGGCCACCAGGTAGTGATATTTTGAGTCATACTGAGTCAGCAGAGATGCTTGTGTGAAGCCACCACCTATGAAGAAGCTGCCACCTCCAGTGCGGGTGTCTTGGTTCAAGCAATTTGGAGAGTACAGCAACACCTTCCCCTGGCCACCTGGCCATACCAAATATGTGATTTGTAGCAGTAGGTTTGGCTTTCCCTGAGTCCTATCCAAAGAGGTTGCCCAGAAGCCTCCCACCTCACCCTTCCCAACTGCCTCCTAAGAAGGGAGTATGACTCACAGTGAGGAATGGGTGCCTGGTGTTCTGGAGGACACGGCTCTCGGTGACCGTGTGAGCAACTTCATCCTATAGACAGAAAGTGTAGGTGAGGGTCTGGTGGGCAATGTCAGGCCTACCCATGCCAGCCCTCCCTGACCTGAGGCACAGCACAATGCTGTGGTGAAATGCAATCCCACTGCTGGCAATGAACAACAAAACAGGATGGTACATGTGCAAGCCCCAAGTACATGATAGACAAAGACCACCAGTGGCTCACAGTCTCCCACCACAAGTGCAAAAAGTGAATGAGAATTTTTGATGGCAGGATGAGAAACAAGCCAGTCATCTGCACCCAAATGTCAGGTCTAACACCCAAAAGGGGGAGAAGCAGACATCATGAGACCCTTGGGGTGCCACCAGAGGATGTGGGAACCACCACCCTTGAAGTGTTCTTGTCCAAAGAAGAACTTGACCTCCTGAAGGCTTGGACTATAGACCAGCGCTTCTCCACACTGGCAGCTTCACTTTGCCTGGTTACTTGCAGAAACGCCAATTCTTGGCGTCTGCCCCAGACCCACTGAGTCAGAAACTCGGGTGGGCTCCACACCACCTCATAAGCTTTTTAAAAAATATATACAGGTAAAATATGATGTCCAGAATATACCTTAAAATACTCCAGAACAGGGACCAGCAGTTGGTGTAGTGGTTACATAGCTGGACTCCCACATGGCTAACAATGGTTCAAGTCCCAGACAAGGCAGCTTGAAACTCACACCAGCCATGCATGGCCAAAATCCCAAGAGGAGAAGGGATTGGAGCATGGCCATCTCCCTTGTGGGGGGTTATTTCTTGCTTTTTATCTCTTTGTCTCTGTCTCCCCAGTGCACGCACATTGCCCTATAGCAAAAATTTCTCTCTTATAAAAAAAAAAAAAAAAAAAAAAACTCCAGGACAAAAAAAGTAACGGAAATAGAGGGCAGAGACAATGAAACAAGGCTGGCTAGAGGCTGATAACTGCTGAAACTGAATGATGATTCCATGGGAGTCCGTTATGCTTATTTTTGTTTTTAGAATTTTGTATATTGGGCCAGCACAGAGGAAGCCAGATCCCACATGGCCAATCAGGGTCCGAGTCCCAAACCCAGCAGTTCAAATGCAGGGCGAGCGTGTATGCCCAAGATCCTAACAGGATGGAGAACTGGAGGAAAAACAACTGGGGCAATACCAGGCCCCACTGGAGAGTGCTCTCTGCCTCTCTTGTGTATGTACACATATCCTCTAGCATAATAAAATAAAAAATTATGTATGTTCGGAATCTTCTACTATAAAAATGTGAACAAAAAAAAACATAAAATTTTAATCTTCAGCCCAAGAACTGAGACACCATCAACAGAACTCTAAGCCTCCCCACAGGAACCTCCTTTTAAGCCTTGCCAGTGCCTGCTAGGGAGGCCTCAAGACAGACTCTCCGCGGGCCACCCAGAATCTGGGGTGGGGACTCGGTCAGGAGGTTCCCTCCTCTCCCAGGCTCTGGTTACCCTTTTCTGATCAGAAACTTACAGGACTAAGACCCAAGGGGATGGGACTGTGAGAGAACAAAGACAATGGCAGCAGAAGACATGGTAAGTGTTCTGATCCCTTGAGTTTCCACCCACACTCAGGCCCTAGCAAGGCCCGCAGCACCTTGGCAATAATAACTTCCTTCCGCAGGATCTTCATAGCATAGTAGCGGCCAGTGGCCTTCTCCCGCACCAGGATGACTTTGCCAAAAGTGCCCTTGCCAAGGAGTTTGAGATAGTCGAAGTCATTCATGGTCTGCAGGGATAGAGAGAGAACAGGGGCCATCAGGGCCTTGTACATGGCCTATGAGAAGAAATTTTAACAAAGAAGAAAACCAAAAGACATAGCTGCCAAATGGCACAGGCAAGAGCAGGGAGGGAGGCTCAGGGCAACTACTGTATGTTCTGCCACTGTCTTCAGACCAAGGCCTCCCACCTCGTGACTCTCCTTGGCAGAGGACCATGGAAGGAGTAGGCTGGGGCTATGAAACAGATTTAATGGGTCCCCACTGCTTTCCACAATGAAGCTGTAGCAGGACTGCCCAGGGCCTCCCATCAACGGGCATAGGGCAGCCCAGGGGCACCTATGACCTGAAGTCATCCCATCCTATGGGGCAGAGCAATGTGAAGGCTCACAGCTGCACCCCTGCACACAGTGAGAAGCTAAGGGAAGAATGCTGGCATTGGGGTGGCACTTGCAGACCAGCAGCCCCACACCCACTGCCTGCCTCCTGGCACTTACCACTTTGGCCCGTGCCTTGCTGACTGCCACTTCCATCTCCTCAGCTGCAGAGGAGTCACTGGGAGAGCCACACTTGTAGTCCATGGGGTCCTCACCTCGGCCCCGTTGCTTGAGGCTGTTGGCAACCATCTGGATGGCCCGCATCCACTCTTCCCTGCATGGGGACACACATGAGCTGTGAGTACCCAGGAAACTATGAGTCCGAGACCCCAGGGTGGAAGGGCTAAGCCAACCTCCTACCCACGGCCTCATGTCCTCCAATGGGCAAGCAAGTAGCCAAACCCCTTTGGGCATTCTGGCAAGATCCACTTGTTGTGGGGAGGGCTGATGGGACCCAACTGAACGGTCATGTATCTCTGGCTATGGCAGAGGGAGTGGGTAAGACAGGACTAAGGAGATAGATCGTCAACTTCCCAGGAGCATCCTGGCCTACAAGCCATGTAAAGCCAGGTGGCAGCAAAATGATCACAAAAGGGGACACCACCTTTCTTCGTAGCCCTCTGACAGCGAGTCACCAGCCTGAGCCTTGAATGAGGGAGACAATGCTCCTCTGAATTTCTCAGAAACAAATGATAAGCTCGAGTTTACAAGTCACTGATTTTTGTAAAGAAAACCCAAGAGAAAAGGCAGCAATTATTAGCAAAGCAGCTAAAGCATCCATAAGGCAAGAGCTAGCCACCATGACTCCCCAAAGAGCAGTCAGGCTGGAGTAGAGAAGTGTGTGATAGAGAGAGAGGTCCTGTAGGGCCAGGAATGTGCAAAAAAAAGGTGACACACAGAAACTGAGTCCCAGCTAACAGGAGTCTGGTTTAAGAATAAGCTAGTTTGGTCGCTCATGATTTAGAATTTGTTTGGAAAGGATTTCCTTTTGATAATTACAAATGGGTCAGTCCAATAAGTGAAAATGACTGTAAAGAAGAAATTAGGCTGAATGATAAATCAATTGTCCAGGACACCCACCCCCCATTTTGACCCACCACACAGCAATTTTAAATAGCTCCATCTAATACTTTTGAACCTACTATTTATTTTGCTTGTGTCTACAAAACACCCATATGACCAGTGGGAAAAACACTGTGCACTACGAATGAGAAAATTCAAAGAGTGAATGCAGACAACCTCCCAAATCCCAGTGATTTAAACAGCAAGTGCAGGTAGCTCTGACAGGGGCCAAGAACAGCTATCACGCACATCTCCAAGCCCTGGCCCGTGGGAAAGCGTTACTGCCCTCGTGCTGCTAAGTTCCTACCCACAGTCACGCAAGGGACAAGCAGTGGGACTAGCCTTCAAAGTCAGAGTCTAGGGCCCAATCACAACAGCATGTGCTCCTAAGATCCTGTGCTCCACAGGTTGGGACCACATAGGAGTCCTGGATTCGATTCCCAGTCCAACTAAAGGCCAGGTGTGGTGTCAAATATCTATAATCCTAGTGACTCGAGGAGGCTGAGGCAGGAGGATCACAAGCTGAGGCTGGCCTGGGCAACACAGTGAGACCAGGCCTTAAAACACATAAATAATCAACATATTTAATGCAATCCCTACAAAATTATAAGAGACACTCTTCACAGACCCAGATAAGACAATTATAAAATTTGTCTGGAATCATAAAAGATTGCCATATTGCCAAAGTCATCCTGCACAAGAAGAGTGGCAAATGGTGAATTTGCAAAAGATGAATCTGAACCCTAGCTGTCACCATTAACAAAAATCAACGCAAAGAGGATCAAAGATCTAAACCTAAGACCACAAACTATAAAGCGACAGTGGAAAACACTGGGGAAACTCTGGGAGATACTGGGAGGAGGGGAAAAGACTTCTTAAGCAAGACCCCCAAAGCACAGGCAATAATCCCCAAAACAGACAGGTGGGATTACATCAGATTAATAAATTTCTGCACAGCAAAGGACCCCATAATTAGTGTGAATCGACAACCCTCTAAATGGGAGAGAATTTTTGTTAACTGTGCCTCAGATAAGAGACTGATAACCAGAATACATAGGGAACTAAAGAGGCTTACCTGAAAGAAAATGATTAACCCAATTAAAAGATGGGAAAATGAGCTGAATAAATAACTCTTTAAGGAAGACATACGAACAGCCAAAAAGCCTATGAAGACATGCTCAACATCCCTCATCATAAGGGAGAGGCAGATCAAAACCACAATGAGATATCACCTAACCCCAGTCAGAATGGCAAAGATTTAAAAAAAAAAAAAAGTGCACACGTCCTATAGCAAAATCCTCTCAAAAAATAAATAAATAAATAAGTGCTGGAGGAGATGTGGTGAAAGAGGAAGAACACTCCTACACTGTTGGTGTAAATTGGTCCAGCCACTACAGAGAACAATATGGAAGTTCCTCAAAGATCTTCAAATAGAACTACCATATGATCCAGCAATTCCACTCCTGGGTATCTACCCTAAGGACAGGAGAACGCTCAGTCAGAAAAGCGCTTGCACAACTATATTCATTGTAGCCTTATTCACAATTGCTAAGACATGAAACCAACCCAAAAGTCCACGATCAGATGAATGGATTAAAAAAATGTGGCACAGGGACCAGCAGTTAGCGTAATGGCTATGTCGCTGGACTCCCACATGGTCAACCATGGTTTGCGTCCCGGACCCGGTGGCTTAAAACTCACGCTGAGCGCATGTGCGTGCGTACCCAAGATCCCAAGAGGAGAATGGAGGAGAAGGGATTGTGGCGTGGCCATCCTCTCTGGGGGGTGATTTCTCGCATTCTGTCTCTCTGTCTCTCTGTGTGTCTGGCGAGCACACGCACCCTATGGCAAAAACCTCAAAAAAAAAAAAAAAAGTGTGGCACATATACTCCATGGAATACTATTCAGCCATAAAGAAAAAAATAAACAAGGCCCTGGCACTTGATAGAAAGACAAATATGGAAGATTTGTTGCTGAGTAAAGCAAGTCAGGCTATGAAACAGACATTGTATGTCTCCACTTAACACATACTGACTGTCTGCACTCTAAGGTACAGACTGAAAGACTGTAGAACATAAAAGCATTGAAAATTGTTACAGACACTAGAGACAAAGTGGAAAGAGAGTGTGGGAGGGCAAGAGCGCAGGAAAGGAAATTTGGCGGAAAAACTAGAGAATTAAGACATTTGTGGGACACAGATATGGTTTATTACCTGTTGATGATGATGTGTATAGTATTCTCAACTGGGCTGGACTGAGGTATATATATCATGCTAGGTAAAGTCTCTTTACAATCTAAATGATGTATAATGATTGAATGTATAAATAATAATAATAAAAACAAACAAACAGGGGCCAGTAGGTGGTATGATGTTTAGGGTGATGTACTCCCACATGGCCAGCCATGGTTCAAGTCTTGAACCTGGCACCATGTATTCTCACTTTCTCTCTCTCTCTCCTCCCTTCATGGTAAATTAAAAAATAATAATAAATAGGGGCTGGCAGGTAGCATGGTGGTTAAAGGCGCTGGTTCCCACATAGCCAACTGCAGTTCAAGTCCTGGATCTATCTGGCAGTTTGCTTTCTCTCTTTCCCTCTCTGTCTTGTCAGAATAAAAAAAAAAAAAAAAAAAAAAAAAAAAAAAAAAAAAAAAAAAACAGTAAGAATAAGAAGAATTAAATAAGTAAATAATTCTTTAAAATAATATTTTTTTTAAAAGTCCAATTCTGGAACCAGCAGTTAGCATAATGGCTATGTCACTGGACTCCCATGTAGTTGACCGCAGTTCGAGTGCCAGACCCAGTGGCTTAAAACTCACACTGGGCATGTGTGCATTCGTGCCCAAGATCCCAAGAGGAGAATGAAGGAGAAGGGATTGCGGTGTGGCCATCCCCCTGGGGGGTGATTTCTCTCTCTCTCTCTCTCTCCACTACAGCAAAAACCTCTTAAAAAAAAAAAAAAAAAAAAGTCCAATTCTGAGCCTTGCCCACCTTACTGGGCTGTACTCCTCCAATCTTAGTTTCCTCAGGTATCATGCAGGACCACTTCTACTTCCATTAGTCCCATGACACATTTTTCCCCATGTGGTTTTTTGTTTTGCTGGTTTTTGTTTTTTTTGTGAGGTTTAGTTTTTGTCTTTTTTTTTTTTTTCCCCTTTCTGATTTTGTTTTGAAGAGAGATTTTTGCATGTGCACTTACGGGAGAGAGAGAGAGATAGAAAGTGAGAAATCCCCCCCAGAGGGGATGGCCATGCTGCAATCCCTTCTCCTCCATTCTACTGTTGGGATCTTGGGCACACACACATATGCACTCCATGTGAATTTTAAGCCACCAGGTCCAGGACTCAAACCTTGGTCGATTACATGGGAGTCTAGCAATGTTACCATTATGCCATCTGCTGGTCCCATGTTTCACTGTTTTTGCTAAAGGTGCATATGCTTACAGGAGAGATGGAAAGAAAGAGGAAAGGGACTAAGAAATCACCCCAGGGTGAATGGCCATGCCACAATCCCTTCTCCTCCAGTCTCCTCTCAGGATTTTGGGCATGCATGAACACAGCGTGATTTTTTTTTTCATGGCATGATTTTCAATCTGCCAGGTCTGAGACTTGGACTTTAGCTATGTGGGATCCAGGCACCTTAACCTCCACACCACCGGCTGGCCCACTATTCCCCAGGTTCTGACATCAGATGCATCTCACAGTTCCCAACCTATCTTGGTTTAATTGGGCACTGACTCTTCTTGGTATTCTATAAAATGCTGGTGTCTTCCAAATATGGCCTCTCAGAGTCAATGAAATGTCACAGCTGTGCCTAACACAGGGTTACTGAGAAGCCAAGAGGATGCACATGATGTACCTATGCAGCAAGAAATTCTGCAGCTGAGAGAGGCAGTCCTGACTTGGAATGATCTGAGGTATCTTAGGTTAAAAAGTAAAATGCAGAATAGTACATGGATTATTATTATCTGTACTGCTGGGTTAGAAAATATATGTATGTCTGCACCCCCATGCTCACAACCATACAGACATCTCTGAAAAGCAGGCGCAGCTCTGGAGTCTTGCCCACCTCAAAAGGACAGGGAAGTCTCACAAGGCACTCACTGTTACTAATCATCCCCTCTGCCCTCACTATATAGGGAACTGAGGATGGAGTAAAAAGACAAATTCAAGAGAAGCCCTGCAGCTGCTCCAAGCCTGAGAGCTGGAATCACA